GCTACATTTCTCCAAATCTGTTCCGATGAAGAAAAAAACTCATCTACATCTTGGATGGCCTGAGGGTGACATATTCAGCAAATGTTAATTTTAGGGTGAACTATTCCTTTAACATTACAGTGCCATGTAACAAATATTAGGCTCTATGTAAGTAATAACAATACCAATTACAATGTGTATTCATGTTATCAGAAAAACAAACAATTAGACCTACATAGAAGTGCATGGTGTACATTAGTATTATTCAGTGCATATCTAATTATACTATTAAATGTGAAGTATTTTCTTCAGTTGAATAACACAATAAAAATCATGCATAAAATCAGAATCATTACGTTTCATGGGAGCCCTCTTAAATAAAGGTATCGATTGCAAGTTGAAGCAAGTAAAAACATTACAGGGGATCCTTCATTGTTTAATGGTAAGCTTAAGGTGGAACACGTCACCTTTAATTGAATATCTAACCTAAGCAAGATCTACCCTTTAGCCAATTATAATGTATTAGACAATTATAATGTATTTTCCCTGACCTGATCTACAATGGCCAGCCATCACTGTGTTGCATGGTTTTGGAGGGTCATTGTTTAATTTTTAAGTTTTGCATGCTTAAAATTTACTATTTGATTCCATTTATACAATTACACAATCATCCAGTACACTATTAAACATGCATTTTATTGTATTGTATGCATCTGTTGTATTGTACATTGCACATTGACTACTAGATGTATATATTGAGTATATTGTCAGTATACAATTTTCTGTATAACTGACTGATATAGCATGTTAACTGTGATTTTTGAAGCTTCCCACCAATGTCTGGTAAGTGTAACTTAAGCCAATAAACCTGAATTCTGATTCTGATTAAACAATGCCGAACCTCGTACTTCAACTAATTACGTAAATGGACAGGACCTGTCAAGAGACAATAACTATTCCCTAATAGAATTTGCCCCCAAGTGCAATTTAATTTTCTCTGTTGCCCTCTCTTGAGGTCTGTTTCTGTCTTTCCTTTGCAGGGAAAATGGGGGAACGGCTTCTGACATTGACGTCCCAGCCTTTATTTACTCTTTTCGAGGAATAGAAGCCACCAGACTGATGTAGACAGGTAACGTTTTTGTCTTTGTAGTCTTTCTTTGTATTTGTGGAACAAAAATTCGAGATTTTCGACTTCCTGCCAGTTCGAGCGCTGTCCAGCTCGTATAGAGAGCGTAGATGTGTAGATGCAAACTTTATTTTCGTGTCGTATTCGAATCGTATTTAAGATGTTTTGTGTATGAAACTGTCTTAAATGCTTTTATATTAACAAACTGAAGAAATGACAACAAACACTGCATTTGGCATGTAAGCTATTATTCAGTATGGGAGACTGAGAGTGATTTGTTTGTGTCAGCATAAGAATAATATTCTCGTATTAGTTTGCAGAAAATTTAAGTTTTAGAGATTGGCAACTTCTGCCTAAAGGGTGTAAATTACAGACAAGTATAAAGAGCGCTGAGCACTGAGTTGTAGTATTAAAGAAAGCATGGACGTTTTAAATGTTGTGCACAATTGTCATCCGTCATCACTATTCCTAGTAATGTCATTTAATTCTACGATTTTAAGTCAAAATAACAAACAGAATTTGAAACATTTATACACTATCCCATTTTGTGCAATATTTGTGGCTTAAAACTCTTCCCATCTGGTCAGACATATATCTTTCTTTCTTTCTTTCTTTCTTTCTTTCTTTCTTCCCTTGCTTCTTTTTTAAGGATGTATATTTACAAAAGTTTGTGTGATGATACATATCAAATTAACCTGCTGATTCAGATGATACTATATTTAACATAGCCTAAATCACATTATAAACCAGACATAATAAAAGAAAATGTTTTATTCTATGTAAATGCGTTTTTCTACATATATTCACCTGAGGAGGGGGAGGGGCATGTATGATGGTTATTTCACCTCTGTAGCTCATTTATACTTGTTTGAACTGATTGTGTTTCGTACAGTCTCATCAGGGATGCTTTGTTTGATTACAGTATGGAGCAGCAGCTCGGGGTGTCAGAATGCGGATACTGTGAAATACTGGCAGTAATTAAAGGTTCTCGGGTCAGAGGGAGTCACACCCTTTCGCTGAGTTATAGTGCAGAGGTCTCTCGTTGTTCGGACAGGTGCCCTTTAGTGAATTTTATAGTGACTTAAACTGACTTTGAGATGCAAAAGAACTGCGCGCTCGTGCAAACGCGTCCACTCGCCTACACGTGGATTAATGCATTTAATCGTGTGGCAAAACATTGAGCATTAAGAGCATTTGCTCCCCTGTTCTGTTTGAGTAAGACTAAATTCACATTTTCACTTCACCATCAGCGTAATTTAATAATCTGCATAATAACTCCTCCTCGCCATAATCAAAATGAAAATCAAAAGCGTGGCCCGGGATAATTCCCATGTCCAGCATTGAGCCCATAGAGAGGGAACCTGGTGACGCTTGGGGGCTGCTGTGTTTGCCACCGTTTAATCAGCTTGATGATCACTTTCATTTAACTAAATTACACTGGAGCCATTAAGCAAGACTGTGGACGGGGTTGCGTTGTTTAAAACTTGAGATAATCGGACTTTGATGACATCCACGTCTTATTTACACATCCCTGTAACATAGCTGTCCATGATTTATAATTTTATACTCTATTTTACACAGGCAAGCAGGATTGAAATACGCTGTGTATATAAACGAGATGATTTTATCTGTATAGAATGTTAATTTTTTTTATTCAACTTTTATTTCCAGACACAAGGTCCATTAGCAAGAAACACACAATACACATTAAAAAAGACGGTTATACAATACTTCCTCATAGAGGACTGATATCGTACATCAGTAAG